ATGTGCATTCCTTTTCATAATTATTTGTTACTTATTCATATTCTTGGAGTTTTATTACAATTTCTCTATTAAATATGATCTTTTAAGTTAAAAGTACAATTTTTATAAACATTTTAAAGCTGAAAGTAGCCCCGCACAGTCATTTAATAATAAAATCCGTGTAAGTGCAAAAAGGTCAAGAATATTAGTATCGGTAAATAACCTATTTCTCATTAGTTAGAGGGGAAAGGTATATATTTTAATCACTTTTTGTAATCATTTGGGTATGTTCTTTATCATGTTAAAGATTGAAAACATTGTGACAAAGACTTCTGATATATATTTACAAATGTAGGGTGGAAAATTGACTGAAAATAAATAGAGTTCATTTGCCTATAGTTTTGAAAATGTGGACTTATCTTTTATGTCAATTGAATAAAAAAGAATTTATTCTTGGGAAATATTGTTTAATACTGTTCAATTTATAAACAATAGAAACAAAGATGTTTGAAGAAGCAATTCTGGGATTTTGTTGTCTTCTTTGCATGACAAGTACCCCTAAATTGACTGAAATTGTGAAGTCGCAATATGTATTTATCATTCCATGTTTAACTGGCTGCACTACATTTAATAGCAAGGAAACATGGCATGTGCTTTTAACTGATTGATAAGCAAGTGCTAATTTATCATTATGAAAAGTTTGAAAATCTTGTGACAAAGACTTCTCCGACATAGGTTCTACCTTAAACATACTTATTATTGAAACACTTTGTTTGTTTCAAACAGTAGATAGACTCCATACATGTATTTTCATTTTGAAACTTAAGAATTGCTATCAGAAGTTGACAGTGTGAAAGCTTCCTTTTTAATGAATTGAGCTTTGGATTGAAATGAATTTATTCTCATTATACCCTCGTCTTTCTCTGTTTAGATATTACAGGGTTGACACTGTATGTCAAAATGGCTTCATGTAAAAAATAACTATGGTATTTTTCTTCCACACAAAAAAAGGGATGCTCATTGAGATATATTTTTAATACTGTATACAGGGTTATTTCACCCCGTGTTATTTTCGCCCTTTCATACTTGCAAAGAATTTTGCCTCATTTAAATTCGCCCAGTAACTGTTTTGTTTTAGAAATTATACTGTTTTCTTTGAATTCGCCCCGTTTTAAATTCGCCCAAATGAAGGTAGGGTGAAAGGGGCGAAAATAAAATGGGGGGCGAAAATTTCCCTGTATACAGTATACATGTGCAACTTCATACTGTACACATTTTTAAATTTAAAGTGAAATGATGATTGTTATATATTAAACAATCTATTATCAAAATACATTTAAGACAAAACAAATAAAAGATTTTCTTTAGGATTTGTGAAATTAGCCAAAAGTAAATCAAAACTCAATTCAGTAAAATAGTTGCCTAAACATACCTTTAGCCTTAGTGATGTAAGAAATACAGCTAGTATTGAAGCTCTTTGTACAAAATGTTGACACTCACAAGTATTTCTCTTATGGAGAACTACTGGATGTGTGTCTGTCTGTTTTATTAATACAAACATGTTACTTTGATTTATTCATTGTGATGTATCGTTAACAGTCTGATGCATTGAGTGATTTGTAAGCAGTGTATTTACTAGTATTTCATGACAAATTAAGATGAGAATGTAATTTGTATACCTGTATTATTTGAAACGACCTTTATTTGTGCAATTTTGAAGTGAATATACTGTACACAAGCCAGTGGATTTAATCTGTTTAGCTTCTTCACTTTTTATTTGGGGGTGGGGGGATGGAGGTTTTCTTTGTTTGGATTTTTTTGTGTGAGTAGTTGTGAAATAAAACCAATGGTCTATGAAAAATGTGTATAAAACATTTTCTTATCGCTCAAAATTATTAATAATATACTGTGTATATCTTTTTTTTTTTTAAAGTCAACTCTATCATACTAGAATTATTGTGTAAACTTTTTTTTTTACAGAAACATGGAGTCATTTTTTCTCAAACTTTTTCAGAAATTTGTCTTTAAAGAGGCTGGGTGGTCTTGGCCATTTTTAGACTATTTTGATCTCCTTTAGAAGAAGAGCTCCATATAAAGATATAATAAAATGATCAAATTTTAAAACTAAAATTTATAATTTTTTTCTTTGCCAAATGAAAGTTGACAGCTCAAGATATCATATCTAAAAAAAAAAATAAGGTATATCTGGTGGTTAATAAAAAAATAATCTGTTGACCCCCTAGCCTCCTTATATTGAGTTCAGAGCTAATAAATTTTGAGGATGTTTATTTCAAAGGCTGACAAGGAGTAGCTATAATGTTTACATAATGACAATCTAAAAAGTTTCTAACAAGACTTGAGATGTGTACATGTGTGTCTACCAGTAGGAATCAGTATTTTTGTGTCAATGTAAGATCAACAGGTTTTCTTCCTCCAGATCAGAATCGTTATAACAGTGTTTTACACTTTACTGAATATATATTCGTGTAATTATTCAGATATCATCAATACTTTTCATTTTGAAGTTGTACAACAACATTGAATTTTTTTTTAAAAATAAAAAATACTTTTAAATACATACTACTAGTATTGTTTCTTTTTATATATTCTGTATTACATAATCTGTCATTTAATTTGGACAACAAAATGATGTACCATTATAAAATGTCTATTGTTGATTGATCACAAGCCATTGCTTTCTCTTACTCAACAACAAGAGTTAACTCTAAATTTTAAGGGTAGAGAACCTTTTCACATAATTGTACAAACAAATACTCCTGGTATTTATTTATTTTTAGAGAGGGGGATGTTGGGTGGTAAAAACATAGACTACAATGAAAAATCTTGCATACAAAGAAATTAAGAACGTTTATTTCTTTGCAAATATCAGAAAAGCATTTCATAAAACTTAAATTTTTGGTGGAAAACGCTTGTTAACAGTGACAGTGGAGCTTATAAGGGGGCATCTGGTTTTGTCACGAGGGACTTTAAGGTATGAAGGTAATGAACAGTAATCGACTCAAAGATCCACGGAAACAGTAAATTAGTAAGTAAGTAAATACTGGGAGTAGAGTAAACATGGACCTCTAAAACAGAAGTGTCGTGCGACGTGGGATCAGGTACCATGTAAGAGTAAACATCCCTTGTCGACTGGTCACACCCGCCTTGTGTCATGAATAGAAAAACGGAAAAAATTGTAGACAATTCAGTGTGAACATAATAGCCTTCAATTTGTATGGAAATGTCAGTCATTAGTAGATTAAACGATAGATTGTATTTGCTATCATGATCATTGCATCTACCATAGAATCTGCTAAAAAGTTGTATTTTATTGAGACTGTTGATATTCCTGTATTATCAACGTATCGTTAGCATGTCTTGTGTTGGATATTGCCTCATTGTACAACATGAACATGTTCTTGTGTGTCAAATCAGTTGGAAGACATTAACTCCATATGTGGATGATAATGTTACATGTATATTAGGTGATAAATTAAAAAAAAAAGTTGACAATGGATAAGTTGTTCATCACCTTAAATTTATGAAAAATATTTTAATTTACCATGAATATATTTTTCTATCAAAATATGAAAAAGATGTGTCAGAATATGTGGTGTCCCTTATTTCGAATTTAAAAGTATAAAGGAAAAACGCACGTAGCAACGAAGGTACACCATCTTTTTTTTCCAAACAGCATATTTACTATTGAAAATGAACTTGCCCCCCCCCCCCCTTCCCCCCACACACACACACACACCACCACCACCACCAAGAAATAGGATTTGCGAGTTTGGACAATGTTCCTTCTATCTTGTCTTTTCTTTTTTTTGAAAGGTGAGTTGAGGATTTTTCTCTGGCCGCGCCCTTTCGAAAACGATGCTACATTCCTAGCAAACAAACACAAGAATAAAATAGAATAATAAAATTTCAGAATTGATAAAACTAATTATCCATAGGCCTATATCATGTATATTGTAGATTTGTCTTTTCACGTAGCTATCTAGAAGTTTATTTTAAAATAAATTCGGCTTCATGTGAATACAAAAATACGTCTAATATTATACCGTTGCGCAGTTAATACCGTGGAAATTCCAAAAGATTGTTGGAGTAATTTATCTCTTAAAGTTCCAGTTCCAAAGATTATGTTATATGTGCACTTATAGTTACTAGTCTAATACATGCATATCATGGTTAAATTAAAGAAGGAAAAATGGGAAACTCTTGTCATTAAAATGTGAAGTTCAAAATAAATCGAAGTAAATAAATTAATAAACATGAATTTAATATTTTCCCACAATCAACATCATGCTGACTATGTCTTTGATTAGTATTTTCACTATTGCGAGATATATTAATTTTTAAAAATGAATCAATATCTTAGTATGGAATATCATTGAAAATCAGGGACCTATATACTTCCCTATGAAAATATTATATTTAAATAGAATAATACCATATCACTTTTCTTTTTGTTTTCTTGAAAAAAAATTAATTGATTTAAAAAAAATGGTATCAAGCTAGGCAACAACGAGGATGTGTACTCATTTGGGGGTGAAAATCGAATCAACTTGGTACGTCTTAATAAAGCGTCTAAACTGGTGCTTCAAATGGTGGAGAACCAAACTAACTCGAAGTTTTCGTCGTGGAAATTTCCTTAAAAAATTCCTGAATCTTCATTAACTAATTTATTAACTTATTGTGCAGTCACGCACATTTCTGCACAGTTATGGCAGAAGAAAAGGAATATGGTTGTGAACACTACAAAAGAAAATGTGCATTGATCGTAAGATTTTTTTGTTTCTCCATCCATGATCTTGCCAATGATTTCTCTCCAATCTATCCTATATTTAAGTTTAGGCCCGACATGTCTTATATAGCCGAATCATAGAATAAAAATCACGATAAATTTTAAATATTTAAAAAAATGTTTTAAAAAAATATATTTATATATAGATCTATTAAGTTTCGTTTGATCTTTTGATCTTCTGATTTAATTTTGTATTGTATTGTTTTTGTTCCAGGCTCCTTGCTGCAAGAAGACCTATACTTGTCGAGTCTGTCATGACGAGAAGGAGAACCACGAACTTATTAGGAAGAATGTTATGCAGGTTCACTGCCTCGCCTGTAACAATGTCCAACAGGTCCGGTTGAATGATGAGTTTTACTTTGCTTTAAACTTAAATTAGAATATTTTTGTCCATATGGCAAAGTGGTTAAGGCATTTCATGACATGTAAAAGTAATTTATTTTATTCACAGGTCCAGAGTGTGTGTGAGGAGTGTGGTACAAAGTTTGGTAATTATTTTTGTGGAATCTGTCGACTTTTTGATGATGAAGACAAGCAACAGTTTCACTGTGATGGATGTGGCCTTTGCAGGTTAGACAATACCTGGTAGCATTTGCAAACGGTTTTCATAACTTGATTTAATTACCACAATCAAATCTTCAATATAAAATTAAACATACTAACTGAATAAATAGTAAGATAATTTTTTTTAAAATGTTAAGATATTTTGACAAGAGTTACTGGCCTTTATCAGTCATGTTTATTTGATGCATAGCAACTCCACAGATTTCAATTTGTATGTTCATTGTGACTTTATTATATGTTGTTTGAAGTTTATTTGCTATGCATTCAAATGAAATTCATTGTGCTAGGCTGGTAACTTTGTCTGAAAATTTCAAAAGTTTTTGAAAGTTTTTTTTCTGTTACATTACCAAGAATGAGACTGTGGAAGTAAACAGATTTGTTCAGTTTGCTTTCACTTTGACAGGAATTTGTTGATATTATATGCAGATTTCATTGACATTGGTATAAACTTATAGGAAAAAATTCATTACTCTCAAGGCAGCCTTGTCACAAGTATTTAAAAATGCAGGCATCACCCTTTTACTTGTTAGGTTGTTCAGTCTATGCGAAAGTCACCGGACCGTCGGTTTTTACCGGTAAAATATAGATCAGGTCGGTAAAAAATTTCAGTATACAGGACCAAATGTCCGATAAAAAATAAGGCCAAATAAATCTAAATTAAGAGGTACACATGGTCAAATTCCCCACAAATATCCTTTATTTGACCAATTTAGCAGTAATACCTGATTAATTTTCATGTTTTACAACCCTGTCATGATCGTTTTTATTCTAATTCAAATTTCCTCTGTCAAGGATTAGAGATCTTTACAGGTGTCATAACAGTATTACACTTTGGTTCACGTCAAATCATGGCTGACACAAAATAATCCCGGAATCTTCCCTTCCGATTCGGGCATTTTGATACGAGACTGGAGCTGAATTTTTTTATGAGATGAAAAACAACATGTAAACTTCCTGTATTGACCAGATTTATTAAAATTTAGGGCGTGCTGATTTTTCTATATACTGTCAAGAGTGGGGAGTGATTAGGCCCTGGACTAGTTTTTCAAGCACCTGCTCGACTTGATCGAAACAAACTTGCGTGCCTTGCTGGATGGCTATGTATTTTTTGGTACTAAAATCTTTATAAAGAATGGTTTTACAAGATCTGAAAAGGAAACTTCTCAGAAGTTTGTTTTGAATTAGTTACATCTACTCAAACTTGCGCATTTTTGGTAAGAATATATAGCAGAAATTAATACTGTTGTGACACCTTAGATAACTCATACGTAGATTTGGTTGGGAAATATTTAGATAGCTCATACGTAGATTCGGTTGGTAAATTATTTTCATATGATCATTGAACTTGAGTAACCATAATGAATTGTTTCAGGAAAAATAAATATGCATGAAAGTGCATATTAAATTTAAGAAAATCTTTGATATGGTGTATGGTGTATAAGTCAAATATGAAGAAAAAAATGCATGCAGTTGTATAAATAGATAAATCTGGATCTATGAATTTTAATGAAGAAAAGTCGGTCTGGTAAGAAATTGTTTGGTCTGGTAAAAATTTTATTTTTACCAGACATTTTGTCCTATAAAAATTTCAAACTTTCGCATAGACTGTTGTTCTAAGTGACTTCAAGGACACTGGTGAGACATTTTCTTGTAAAAAAAAAAACCCAAACAATTATCAACAAATAAATCAATGAATACAATAAATGAATCATGTGTGTTGAAGATGTCATCACTGAAAAGATTAAAAAACATAACTTTTCCATGAAATTTTAGAATTAAGAACATTTTCTCTAAGATTGGGGGTTTGTCCCAGCATCTGTGTGTCCTCTTTCTTTGTAATCACAAGATTTGTTTTTACGTCAGTAAAATGAATTTTTTTTTTTTTTAATAAACACTGACAGGATTGGGGGTCGGGAGAATTTTTACCACTGTGATGTTTGTGATGTCTGTCTGGCAGTCTCCATGAAAGATAACCACAAGGTGAGAACTGGAGAAGGGTACATTGTACATCACTTCTGGTCATTATTTCAGGGTTATACAATGCTAAGTTTAAGCTCATTGGATTCTGTAAATATCTTGTAGAGATCAATTGTGATCAATTTTGGTGTTGAAATAGACCCTAACTGTTATCTGATATTTATAGATATTAAAAAAAAATATTTAATGCATTTTAAAGCATTTTCAGAATGTTAAGATAAGCCTTAAGGCCATATAAAATTAATCTTTAGATTCTCATCCCCGCCCGCCCCTCTCAAAATGTCCCGCCCCGATGTTTTTATTTATTTTGATTTTTGGGTATTTCAGTAAGAATTTGGTTCAAAGTTTAAGAGTTATCTCCCGTCTGTATTAAAAGTCGCGTGTCGCTATTAATAGCAAAAACGCCATGTGAAGAATGGAGAAAAATCGGCAATAAAAGAAGTTTAAATGTGTAAGGAAAAGATAATTTGTCAGTATAGAGAAGGCAGAGAAGAAAAAATAGCATAAACACATATAGATACCATCACTGGCAGGAGCGAGTATGTAGAGAGATTGTAACTAAGTAAAAATAGAGGAGTAAAATGACACCTGGTCAAGTTATATGTAACGATCTCCAGCTGTGTGACTTTGCTTTGAAATAAACAAAATCTACAACATTGTAGACAGACTTATGAGAAGGCCTAGATTTTTCAGTAGAATAATTATTAGATCATTTATATAGATTTTGCAAAAAATAAAGTCACGCATCCCTACCTCATTTTGTTCAGGGTGTGCCGTATAATGTGTACTTGATAACTTGTTAATTAACAATAAATATTTAATTTTTAAAGCAAAAATTTTCTTTAAATATTTAAAAGAATATGAAAATAATTAAATCTATTCATATTTGCATTAAGGTAATGAAAAAAAAAATGTGTACGTGGCGTCCATTGTTGTGTTGATACTTAGGCCTATATATAAATTAACAATTATAAAAAATAAAAAATAAAATCCGCCCACCCGCCCCAATTTTTTAGCAAATTAGGATGAGAATCTAAAGATTAATTTTACCTGGCCTAATCTGAAGTTTTTGTTGATAGTGTATAGAGAAGTCATCCCATTCAAACTGTCCGGTGTGTTTAGAGGACCTCCATACATCTAGGATAGCAGCTCATATCCCGCCCTGTGGTCACCTTATTCATTAGTAAGTGCTAGGGATACATGTAGTAACATACTGTCAGATAGTTAAAGAATTTATTATCACTACCGAGAAAACTACGGTACATTGTCTAAAATTTTGTAAAATTCCTTCAATGTAATGAATTACGAAAAGTTGTACAGTTGTACTGTTTCTTATAATTTTCTGTTAATAAACATGCAAATCATAAACTCTCAAGTTAAGAATGTTTTAATTTTTTTTTCAGTAAATGTTTTAAAGACATGCTTAAAACAGGGTGAGTATTCTAAAAGAAAATTGTAAAATTTTTATGACCTTCAGCCCCTCATTCCACCCTTCACACAGACACCTAAAAAGCCATATTTAATTAAGATAAACTTTGTCATTCAGAAAACACTTGATACTTTTGTATTTGAATTAATTATTGATTTCTTTCAAATTCCACCACCTTCTACATTTACAACATTTAGTGCTTGATTTGCAGTCTGAATGATTGTATTTGAACTCTGTATTTTTAGTAATTATGCATGTCCTATATGTGGTCAGTCTATGCTAGATATGACTGATTTTGCACTTTGTAATTTTAGTAACTATGCGTGTCCTGTATGTGGCCAGTCGCTGCTAAATATGAGCGATTACAAACTTTGTATTTTTAGTAACTATGCGTGTCCTATATGTGGCCAGTTGCTGCTAGATATGATTGATTTTGAACTTTCTATTTTTAGTAACTATGCTTGTCCTATATGTGGCCAGTCAATGCTAGATATGAGTGACATATGGCAGAATGTGGATGAGGAGGTGTCCCAGTGTCCTATGCCAGAGGAATATCAGAATTATTACGTACAGATCCTGTGTAAAGATTGTCATGAGGTAATTTATAGTAGTGTCCAAACACCAAAACCTTCCCCAGACAGGTTTTAGACACATGTATTACATCTTAAAATAGTGATGCTAATTAATTTTTCTTTTGGAGTGCATTTTTAGGTTCATTTAGTTTTATTATATATGAAAGGAATCAATTTCTTACACCAAGATTTTTTTTTTCATCAGGAAAGTCGGGTGTTATTTCATGTATTGGGACTGAAGTGCCAGCAGTGTGGTTCCTACAACACTTGTCGTACCCAGGAACCTGAGGGGGCAGAAGAGATGGAGTGTCCCTCCCAAAACTCCGCTTCTGGTACCTCCCAGGACACTTATAATACAGCTGAGACTTCTTCTAATACGTCAGAGAGTGACCCTGCTAACTCAAACAGTACCGCAGAAGTCTCACATCTAACAACACAGGTTAACAATTTAGATACTGCAGGGGACACCTGAGAGGGGAGATTTCTAGCTACTCTACCAGCAGTCAAACAATAGCTTAACAGGAATCTTTAGGTAGTGGATACAGATATGAGCACCTATGTGAATATTTTTATATTGGCTACCAGAAATGAATATTATGCAATGTTAAATTAAAATCTTCAGAACATTTTAGCCATACAAGTAACAAAGAAAATTGATTGTACTTTGACATTCACACAATTGTCACATATCTTTTTCCAGATGATTAAGTGCAAGTTTTTGTTGCCATTACAAGCTGCATGTTCAGGATCTTTTAGATAAAAATTATATAACACATATGGGTATTTTCAGGAAATTAAATGCATGAATATCAGATATTAAGTTAATATAAAACGTATGGTTACACACATATACTCCTCAGAATTACCGGTACTCATTAATCAAGGAATTCAGTCAATGTTCATGTAATAACTTATTCATTCTTTAAATGTATTTAAAACTGCATTTGTTTTCAATTCTGTACTCCCCATGTGAATCTCGTTCTAGACAGAGGACTGGTACAATTTTTCTGATTTTAGTATTCTTTATTAATTTGTGTGTGTGAATACATATCATTGTAAAACAAGTTTTTCTCCATTTAAAACCTGATTGTTTTTGTTCTCTACAAGTATGGTTATTTATAATGTGGCTCTTCTACCTGTTGTTACATGAGATATTATACCAGACTGGGCTGAAATGATGATAAAATTCCTTACATAACTGTGATGTAGAGCATATCAATTAAACATATTGAAAGAGAAACCTTTTGTTTCATTTTGGAACCTGGGATAATAGGTTTTTACTGTTGTTAATTTGTATTGTCTATTTTTATCAGGTCAGACGTGTTGCACAATAAAAACATACCCATATAAGCTCATCGGGAAACAATTTATTTTTGAACCAATGTTTAAAAAATAAATATATATTGCTTTGTAAAAATAATCAATTAACTTTTTGTGTAAAGTACTTTTATCAGAGAATTTATCACAGATGGTTGTAGATTTGCAGGAATTCCCTATCTCACGGGATTAACGAAATACGCAAAGGACAATCAGGGGTCATATTTGTGTTCAGTATCACTGAAGACTTGCAGACTTTCCCTAGTCTCTGGGGATGAATGAATTGGCAGGAGTCATATGTGCTCAGTACGATTGAAGATTCGCAGACATTCCCTAGTTTCTGGGGATGAATGAAATGTGCAGAGGGTCAGCAGGAGTCATAACTGTGTTCAGAACAGCATCTACAGGGCCGTGATTGTACTCAAGGCGGAAGTTCTGAACAATCTAAAAAAGAAAGATCAATATTTTAATATCTCAGAGAGGGGCATTTGGAAACGATAGTATCTCTGCTGAAAGGAGAAAATATTTGAAAAATATTGCTGTAAATACCTTTGTCAACAATATATGGATTTCTTGTTCAGCAAATCTGCGACCTAAATGAAATAAAATTAACAGTATTGAATTAATTAATCATTTTTTTAATTGATACTTTAAAAAAAAGTCTTTTCAGTTTGTTCAGTTAGCAAGAGAAGTGACCTACCAATGCACATGCGCGCGCCGTGACCCCACACGAGGTTGGACAGAGCTTTTACTTCCTGGTTCATAGTGTTCTCCTTTAACCAGCGTTCAGGTTTGAAAGCTTCTGGTTCAGGAAATAATTTGCTATCCCGATACATCGTGTACAAATTTCCTTGCACATGGGTCTACAGGATTAAAGAATGAAAGCCGTTTTAAAAATTTGAATTTGAAGAAATGTATTTTATTTCATTATATTAAAAAAAAAAAATAACTGATCAGTTTGATAATTAAATTACTTATCAAATGGTCTCAATTGTCATTACAATATAGAAAAAAAGTTAACGTAGATAGATGTACAAATTGGCAGTTGTATACATACCCCGGCTGGAATTGTATAACCAGCGACTTCAGTGTCCTTTGCTAAATATCTGGTTGTTGCGAAAGTGATAGGGTATAACCTTCAAATGAAAAAAAACCGTGTTCATTTCTTACTGGAAAAGCCTCAAAAAGACCTCTAGCAAATATCATGAATGTATTATACTTAATATTATAATATTACTGCTAAAAAGAGATGAACCCAAAACTACGATCGTATGGATAAAAAATCTTTTGTGTAATAATTATGGCAGTGTAGTGTCAGATGATGGACTGAAAGTTGTATTAAAGTTCATGGAGTGGAGCATATATTTGTTCAGGCTATCAATTTTTTAATACTATTTTACTATACTTAAAACTTCTCACATACGACTAGTTATAAATACTTGTTACACAATTTAGGATAAAATATTGTCTACATTAAGCACGGATACTCCAAAAGTCGGCTTGTCCACCAGAATACTCGATAATGTTTTCTACTCTGAAGTAAAGTTCGTAAACTTGGAAAATCTTTCCTTAGGTTGTAGAAAAGCATTAAAAAATTTAGCTGCAGAACTGCAGCTCACCGAAAAAATATATTGACAAAACGGTCTGTCAGTATATTTTTTTGGGAGAGCTACAGTTCTGCAGCTATTAAAAATTTTAATCAAAATCATAAAATATAGCGCGCAAACGAATAAAGTTAATTTAGAATTGCTCATACCCTTCGCAGGGTCTCTTGGCCCTCTCTTACTTGATTTTACGTCCATACGGAACATAAGCTAACGAAAACAAACACCCCCCCTCTTAAAAAAGACGAAGTAAATCTTTATATTTCCGGTTTTTTTTGTAGAGTTAGTCATCAGGTGGATTTTATGCAGAAGCACGCCACATCTACGACTATTCCTATCAGCAGGATAAGCTGTGAAGATAAAGGTGATGTGAATATGATTGGGCCATAAGGGGGGAAAATCTGCTGTAAAATTCCCAAGGACACAAAAAATAAACATATGCCATGCATATAAGTGTAATGGAGTCCAAAGATATTCATCCCCAAATGGCCAGTATGGGTCTTTATAATTATGAGGGAGACGAAATGGGTTTAACTGCAATAATATGATGGTTTTAATATATATCCACCTTTTTAATTTAAATATATCATCGCCATTACCTGAAGGTTTCTTTCAAGATTGCTTTGACATACTGGAGCTCGGAAAGTTTTTCAGGAGTGATTGTCTCGTTGTTGGGTAGAACTCGTTTTGTTTCTTGATATAATTTTGCCTGGACCTCTGGGTTTTTAGCTAAGCAGTATAATGCCCACAATGATCCGGTTGATGTCTGAAAGAACAATGCATAGCTCTTCCTGTAGGTTAAATTACTTATTAAGTATTAAGACATCGATCTAATTCTGGATACTTGATAAAAAGATAAATTAAAAAAAATTAAAGGCTATGAAAGATAAAGAAAGAATCAATAACCCGCTTGTATGGAAGCACTTGCAGTTTTTGTGGCACTTATCGATAAATTACTTTTAGTCTTGTAGCAAGTATTATCGATAAGTGCCACAGAAACTGCAAGATATTATCGAGTAAGCGAATAAATACCTAGTTGCTTTTCCACTGATGAATTATCGATCATTCGTTTACTCAGGAATAGAGAGTTTCTCTGGCACTGATGCATTATCGATAATTCGCTTACTCGAGTCGAGAATTCTTAGTTTCTTTCGCACAGATGAATTATCGATAATTCGTTTATACATGTACTCGGAAATACGAGTACTTAGAGTTTCTTTGGCACAGATGTATTATCGATGATTCGCTTACTCGGGGGGGGGGGGGGGGGGGGCAACGTTACTTACAGTTTCTGTGGCACTGATGAGCATATCAACTGTTGTTGAGAGAGCTTCGTTTTCGGTGAGGGATTTTTGGTTCATCATGTACTCTAAAAAGGAAGACTTTTGTCCCTCTTTTGGTGGGTTTTGTTGGAGCATGGCGGCTTTCTGTGCGTAAACACAATAAAGAAAATGCAGGACAAACTCAGGAAACAAATTGCTTTTTATCAATAATTAAGGAAAAATAACAAAATCAATTTCTTAAATTGTATGCTACAAGCACCTTGTCTACGAATGATCTGCCAATTTTGAAAATGTTGTCAGCATATTTCTCGTATTGCTTCCAGGTTTTGGTGGGGAAAATTTTGTATAACGGGACATTGTACATGAGAGGCTGCATAAGCTTGAAAAATCCCTGTAAATTTTCAATGAAGGCTTGAGCCTGTTGAGATGGGTTTGGTCCAAGACATCTGATTCTGGAGTCAAATAAGAACGGGCTTATTGCTGTAAAAGAAATAAATGTATTGGTGTTAACAAAAGGACTTCTATTATACACCCACAGTTTAAAAAAAAAAATGTTAATTTAGTATGAAAATGTATATTGAGTAGCCAGTTGGCAACACTGCCCAAATCCTCCCATTTTAATGTTTCCATAAAAATCCTTTCGAAAAAGAGCCCCCCCCCCCCCCCCCCACGCACAAGTTTGGGAGCTTGTGTAATCATTATTTTCTTTTTTTCTTTTTGCTATGTATGTCAAATTTTAAAGCAAGTTATTAATTATATTTTCTGTTCCTCTTCTTTCTTAATTAAAAGACGCTACATGCCTGATAACTAATAACTAAACAGATTTCCAGCGAATAAAATTCAAGAAATATTTTATTGCAGACAAAATGTGCTCGAAAAGTATGATCGATGTGCAAAAATTTCCCTTTTTGAACTTTAAGAACGGAGAAACCATCGTCGGAAGCCATGGCCAGAGTGTACGATTATCTCCTAAATAGGAGAGAGAGCTATGAGAGGACTCCGACCCGACATGATGGGGACTTACATTCCATGGACCACTTGAAGAGTTCTTTCTCGATGCCCACGATTTCGTTGTTCTGGTTTCTGAGACTGTACAAATGACCGGTGAAATCATTGGCTACCTGGTCCATATCAAAACAACAGTCCAAGACTTCCTTCATCTTCAGCATCTTCTTGATCGTGACGGTACGGAGTTTGTGCCATTCAGCGCCCTTTCTAAAATAGAATTCCTTATAATAAATAATAAATTGCTTTTAGTGAGTATTACGAGCCACTGAATGCCAATACTGCATTGGAAAAAGAAATTTGAGTCGTCCAAATCCTGATACAAATATTAGAAAATTTCGACTTATACCAATGAAATTTTATTTGTTGAGTCAGCAGAGTACTTGGATGGTAAATGCGCTATTTTATGACTTATCGGATATTCAAACTATCAGAACACTTACGAATCTACGAGACCCTGTCCCAATTTCTTGATTTCCCTGTAGTGATGCCAGGGCTCCATCAGATGGCGCTCCGGAAATTTGCCGTCCACTCGGATGACCTTATTGTACTCAACAGGATCGCTGATGACAACTGTTGAAATGTTGGCGATGTTTTCTTTGAAAATTGGTCCGAATTGAAGAGCTCTTTGTCTGTAGGCCTTTTAATATAAAATCAATACTTACTTGTTTGTGAAACACTGACTGGAGGTCATTGCAAAGGTTTATTTTTTAATTAAAAGTCAAACTTCATGGTCAAAGGAACAAAATCGTTGAAACCAAAGAGAAGACTTGTCACAAGGAATACGCCTGAGAAATATGGAAGCCCTACTAATAACCGTTCAAAATTATGTCTACTTTTTCAGTTTTTCAAAAGTAGGCCAGACTCCAAGACCAAGTTCCAAGGCATATAATGTTTGTTCTCAAGAAACGGTCTTATCAAAAGGAATGCATTTGTGAAGTTTAAAGTCCTTAGCACCAACCGTTTAAAAGTCTGAAAAATGGCTTAACAATTTGTTTGTAGATGGTATGTTGTTACCAAAGAAAGTCTTGTCAGCAGGCATACACAAGTGAAATATGAAAGCTCTACGTCTAACCAGTCAAGAGTTTTGGGAAAGGTTAAAGGTCTTGTGAACAAGCAAACAGATGAAGGGCAATCTGCAATCTTGTGAATTTTCGATTACGGGGTAATAAAAATGTAGCTAGAAAAGACTTTATATGCCATGAATACAAAACGTTTGAAGAACAAAATTGAAATCAAATAATGGAATTATTTACTACAATGGAATTATTTACTTCAAACAGTTTGTTGAATCGAAAACCATCTTTCTTCATGTAATCAAAGAGTGTTCCCACTATTGGAAGCCCTTTTGGTCCTGGGATTTCATCGAAAGACTTTATTGACGAAGTTTGAATGTTTGTTTTTCGTTCCAACGGTGTTTCAATTGGTGCAAAAATGCTGTCTAAGGCGGTTGCTGCATCTCGCAATGGACACTGAGAATATAACAGCCCTATATTATGTGATTGTTTGTTAAATTATGCAAAAAAGAACTCTATTCAAGTTTTAAAATGAAATGTATTTGAATGTCACAGTTTCCGTACGTATTGAAGATGGCAGAAAGACATTTTCTCGTACTTTTAAATTCTAAATGAATTATTGTAATCATCTTTACAGCATTAAAACTTTCTTAAATGAACAAATATCAATCCATAAAATTACCCCAAAAAGATAAAATTACCGAGGACTGTGATATCTATTTGAGAATGATTGCCTAAGATCTTACCGATAGCGGTGCTACTTTGGTTAGAGAGATTGCCTGGTTGTTTCTTGAAGAGGTGGAGAGAACCCGGTTTTGAACCCTCAAAGTTTTTGATAAAACGTTGCATAAAGTTGAACCTTTGGTTGCCATTTTGGTTTCTGTTCAAAACAAAATAGTAACTCTTTGTTATAAATAAATTGATTACTAGTAATGTAATTAATGTTAAATCTTCAAGCCGAAATCCTTCACACATATTTGGGTAAACCCGAAAAGCACTGCGGAAGTTCCCTTCTGTGATGGGATACTTTAAATACTTTTTTAAGTGAGTACAGTTTTTAAAATTCTTACTTACATTGAATAAGAAACATTTTTACTATCGAAAATACCAAGCAGTTTAAGAAGTTGTGTAAACCCGCATTTAAGATATTGATCGCCTTTTCGATTTTTCTTCATTATATAAGATGAAGCATAGAAATGAAGACAAATGCTGCCCACATCTTTATAGAAATCTACCACAATTTTATGCAAAACATGGCTGAAAAATTGCCGACTCGGCGTTAAAAATACCGTCAATCGATCTTATTTAGGAGCTAAAAGACAAAAAATAATTTTTAATTTTGATTTCTTGAATCACAATATTTTATCATATAAAACATTTATATTCGCAACAATTTTTGTAAAAAACATAGAGTGGTCAGTGAATTACTAGTATTAGAATGTCAGGAGCTGTGGTCAAAAACCATACAATGAGTATTCTTCTAATCTAGAGCTTGTGAAGGATTTCACAACAAAACCTAACATGAGAAGGGTCGTGCTGAAATCCTCGGACTGTCATGTTTATTCTGTATCATACATATAACTATACATGTTACAAAATAATTTATTATCGCCAGACGGGGTTACAAGATGGTGTAATGAATTTGACGAACACAGGAATATGTTCTATAGACCACATTCTCCCCAAGAACCCTTTAAATAAAAAAAAAATTGAAGGTCGGCAGGGGATGCTCACTAATCCATGGCACCTGACCCCACCTGAAATGTGAACAGAAGTCGGAGTTTGCTCTGCTCCTGATTTGTATTGTTTTATGGACTTTTGAGCTTGAATACTGTTCGATATCTCCACATATTTCACTATTAACAATACAAGCACGCTCAGTGTATGACAATCTAAGACTTCTGTTCACGGATACTCGGAAAGTAGGATTTTAAAAAGTCATTCATATAGAAATTATATTTTTTATGAGAACAAAGCTTCAAAATGACAAATAAGCAGACATCCTTTTTAAATGAACTTGATCAAGATATGCTCCTTGTGCAGGATTGAGTCAAATGAAACTAACACGCAACCATATAAGGTGGATGGACCTCATTTTTAGGCGGAAGCCGCCTATTACAGTTGCTTTGATTATCGATATATCTAGAGTAACGGAACATAGTATCGTTTGAAATTCTGTGAAAATATTGCAAAGTTCAAATGGGAGATGACTCCAATGATTTTTGTATTTAATTTACCAAAAATAGAAAGTGTAATATTACTTGTACCACAAATAATATCTATTAATATATTTTGTCACTTACCTGGTTTCTAATTACCGTTAACTGGGGCCGAAAAATAAAAATGGGTTTCCACCCTATGTACTGGCTTATGGCACTAGTGAGCGCAAAGCTACTTTCCATTGTTGCTTCTTTTATAGTGGTTCTTATCACGTGTCATTTACTGATGCTGACATCACAACAACCACATTCATTCATTCATTCATTCATTTATTTTTATTTTCTGGACCCAGGTGCAAATCAGTTGGAAAATTCAGAGCAAATCGCTTTTATCCCGTGGAGTTGTTGCATCAATGAATGAATCATAAGAACTGTTTGACTGTATTTAGCCAGAATAATCTTCTTGGACCTTGAATGAATTTGAGAAAAGTGGGCTTGATCAGAGAGAACAAGAAGGCGGTGAAGGCCGCCGCCATAACCCCATAACGTGATTTTGTCATTGATTACTAGTATATATATTGTTTGGCGAACCTTAATTTTTTTAAATGGCTTGCTCTTACTGCACAGGTTATGACAAAAAGTGCATAAACATCAGAATAAAATCTCTGATGCAATCATATTTTGTTAATCAGGATCATCTAATTTTGTTTATTTGAAGTTTAAGAACAGAATTATTTCTGACGGATGATAAGTGTATTATTTTAAGCAACTCTATCACAGAGAAGGGAATGACCGGTTCACAAATAAGATTTTCCTATTTAGTACAGTGGACAATGAAATATTAATTTATTGAACTCCCCCTTTTCTTTTATTAGGAAGAGGCCTACTGATTTTATTATTTGTCCGTATTTCATAAAAAAAAGTATGATTTATAAATCTGTCCGTGGGACACTTAGCTGGAATCTTCTTCTTCGGAACCACTCTGCAAAAAAGAATAAAATGGAGAAACTTGTATTCAGACCTCCAGGTATGGGGTAGATTCATTTCCCCCCCCCCCCAAATCATGGTCCGTTAGGGCTAGTTTGGGGGATCTAAGTTTTACATGAGAATAAATAGGAATTACATGAAAAATACATATTAATTCTCAATAAAAGCGCATTTTTTAAAAAAAAAAAAATCATATCGATGTGCAAGTATCAAAGGAAAGTAAAAGTTGATAGACCTTAGAAAGTATTGCGACTGGTAACATAAAAGAATCAAGCTGTACAGGACTTAAACAGCTCTCATGAAAATATGTAATGTATAGGGAAAGATAAGATAAATAGGACATAATTTGACCATAAGTATGGGGCTTTTACATGTATGTCCGGTTAAGATCATAATTCTGGATCTCTTGTTAGAAATTGATCATTTTGTCATAGCTCGTCCATTGTACTGATTTTACCTTTCACTTTATTTTAGTGACACTTAGATGAGATATGCATGTATATAGATAAGAATGGTATTTAAGCTCAAAAGTTCAGGAAACAATACAATATTTTGGAGCAGAGCAAACACGAACCTCCCAAACAACAAATGGGATCAGGTGCCATGGAGTGAGCATCCCCTGCCGACCGGTCATTCCCGCCATGTACTTCTTGTCATGTACGAAAATAACGGAAAAATCCATTGACATTCAATGTGTAAAAAATGGTCTAACAATTAGTATGAAAAACGTTAGTCAGCATTTGATTTAATGATGAATTGTATTTGCTGATACTTAAGACATGATGACTTCAAACGAGACTGCTGATATTCTTGTTTCAGCAACTTGTCTGTCATTAATATGTACCCGTTTTAAAAATTGTTCATACGTAGAGCATGCTCTAGTGTATCGAATGAACTTAGATCAACTGATAAAACCCATATGCAGCTGATGAATTTATATTGCTGCATAAGTAAGAGAACACTGAAGTAATTTGAAGACGATTGAAAATTTAAAGTATCACATTTTTCATAAAACTTGGTTGTTAGATTACCATTTTAAACATCTTGTCCAGTAAATTATCGAAATATGAAACAGATATATCAGACTTTGTGATAACTTTTATAAATGAAGTTCACAGAGATATTTCTTATCAACATAAGAATAGAAATAACCATTGTTAATTGACAGTACATCTTCGATATATCTAAATGACGAGCTGAAAACCACAGCAAGTGATTTGTTCTTTTCGCGTATTAGATTTTGGAAAATTCTGCTTCATATGAATACAAAAAAAGGTCTGCCAATAACGGACGCAATTTGAGCTATGAGGATTCCAATAAATTGTTGGAAGACCTGGTCTGCAAAAACCATATACAATCATGTAGATATTGTCAATCAGAAACTCAATCATCTTTTTATTGTCAACTTCAGAGTACTTGTGTGCAGTTAGAATATTTCTAAGAAAAATAATTTTGTAAAAGACCAATGAAAGGTAAGTAAATTTGCGAGTTCTATTTTAATTAAAAATGATAATTTTCAATGATGTAAATAACTTGGATTTTAATTTATCGTGGGAAATGGTTGAATATAAAGTTGAAAATTTGTAAGTTTTTATGTTGTTGATTCTGGAAAAAAAATTGTAATTTAAAATTTTCCAAAATTTCCTTGGAGTTTTTGAGTATCCACATCTGATTTACACCACTTCTCGAATATATTGCACAGTACTTCTGAAGTTTCTCCATCATTACTGTAAATATTTCAGTGGGGAGTAAAGCAAGAGGCTTGGTAGAACATTTACTGGAACCCGCAATGTATGTTTTTTCTTTTGTAAAGATCCTTATGAAGTTTTAGATTCCAATACATAGATATAGTAGTTCAAATTCGGGTTGATTGTTGGGAATATTTCAAATATTCAAAACTGACATATGAATTTGAAGAATTTTCTCCTTAATTCTTTTATTTTTAGTGCGACAAAATTTTCCTGTGCAATTAAAGTATGAGGATGAATTTTTTGTGAGCAATCAGTTTTGCGTAATTAAGAGAAAATAAAATTCTTGCGAACAAAAATACCCCAAGTTTCAGTGCTTGAAAACTTGTTTGGACTGGATTATTTCATGTATGTATAATAAAATAACGGTTGTGATTTTTCTGCATAAAATACTGTTAAAAGTAAATACAGTCAATTCTCGAATTATCGCCATTCGATTCATCGCCATTTTCGCAATACCGCCATGATTTCCCAAGAACGTTTTTCCTGCTATATAAAATTCTCTTTATAACGCCAAATTCGCATACCGCCATCCGCCACCCTGTTTTCACAACAAACGTCCATTTTTAAGTGTCAATTATCTCGATATACCGCCACAGGTGTGTGTGGTCAGTGAAGCGCGGCTAATTGGTTGACACTATCCCTGTTGTAAAGCATGCAAGGCAGACAAGGTACATGCAATTAAGTAATTAAACAAGAACTAAATAAACAAAGATTTTAACATGAACTGTTATATTTTTGTTTTCTGTTTAATTAAAATCATTTAATCACGGCTTTGCCACGAAAGCGGTCGTTGTTAAAGTACGCCGATAACTATATAATTTAGATGATCTCTGCTTCAAACATTGCAAAGTTTGCTGAAAAAATAATTATACGGTATAAATTGTGAATGTTTAATTAACAATGTTACCATAAACAATAAATTTATTCAAGAATTCATTTTACTTACTATCGGCAATATATCACGACGATCGACCCGGCATGTTTTTTTTTCAATAGCAGAACTGCAGATTTAAATGCGCACCCATGTACTTGTATTTATTTCATAACTGCACATTTTGTTTTAGCGAATTTGTACATTAAAAAATTACTTGAAGTATTTTCAATCAGAAATACATGTATGATTTTATATACATTTACATGTAAAAATAAGAATAGAAACGCTTTATGGTATTTCTAAGAACGGTAATTCTACTTCTTGTTTTCCAGAAGATGGAAATTCAATTCATCGCCAAATTCGTTATACGGCCATGATTTCTAGATTACAAAAGGTGGCGGTTTATCGAGAATTAACTGTACTGAGTATACATAGTCATGACATGGAGGAATTGAAATCAATTTGCTGTCTTTCATTACCAACTCCTAGCAGAATGCGAGTTTCCAACCTTCTATGGTAAGTCATAATGCGCAATGGACAGGGCTGTATTACTGTTTGATGCAGACGTAAGGTCATAACGACAAACTGGGAAGGTCAGGATTCAGTTGACATTCACTGTATGAAGAAAATCAACTTCTCTCAAATAAAATTGATTTGTGTCTAACCCAGACATGAACTCTTCTCAACTGAGTGACATTGAGACGAATTTATTTATGGGATGTCTTGTTTTAGAAGGAGTCAGCAAAAACAATGCAAGCTAAGTGTACAACAAGTACAAGTAAACTGTAGAACCCAAGATCCCTGTGTGTATTGGACAGCACAGACAGTTAGTCCAGAAACAGTCTGTTGCAGTATCGGGATTTGTTGGAATTATAAATAAAGACATTAAAGCTGTACTTCTATTTACTGAACATGAACCTAAATGAAGTTTCTCTAGGATGCTACAAAATAAATCAATAACAGATAATTGTACCCTACTTTTTCCTGCATACAGTAAGGAATCAAGTTCAAATCCCAATTTTTAAAAATCTGTAGCAGAGCAAAAACGAACCTCCAAACATATCAGAGGTGGGATCAGGTGCCACTGATGAGAAACATCCCCTGTGGACTGGTCACATCCGCTGTGTGCTCCTTGTCATGATCGGACAAATAAAAATCCATTAAGAAGTGAGTAAATAATGGCCTAACAATTTATTTACAAAATATTAAAGAACATTAGACTTGAAAAATTGTATTTGCTGACATGGTCATTGTGTCGTCCATAGACCTTGCGAAATGCTGGCTGGTAAGCTAGGAGACTGTTTGTCAATAGCTTGCCTTGTTTGGGAAAATTTTCGCAAAATGAACTTGCCTTTACATATATAAACTCCATATTGAGGTAATAAGGGTATATTGCTACATAAAAATGGAAAGCTGACGATAGAAAAAGTGAAAGATTTTTTGCTTGGTTACCAACTTATCATGTATGTTTTTTTTCTAGTAAAATTTCCAACTATGAAGAAGATGCATGCATCAAACTCTGTAGTATCTTTGATTACGAGTTCTAAGTGATATACCGGTATATCAAATCAATACAGGACTGAAAATGTTTTTTTTTATTTGATAAAACGTCAATATTA